TTGAGTATGAAAGTATAGAAATTTTAAATTACATCTAACTCACTCATGTCTTCTCTCTCCCCCCTCACTTCGTTAATTTACATATGCTTAATACGGGCCGTCAAAAATGTGTAAATTTCTTTTCATTTTTTGTTTCAACCCTTTAAAAGGGCTATGGTGAAATAATTTATTACATGGAACCTTAAAGTGGTTTGTTTTTATTTAAATTATTTGCTCTGGATTTACATTGAGCTCTCTGGATTTTATCCTCATTGGGTTTACCCGTACGGATTACCTAGTTTTTCATATACTATATATATGTTATGTATTAAAAATCATTAACAATTTTTTTGTACAAAAACTGTTTTGATATCATTTTTCAAAGGCAGTTGAGAGGTCATCGTTTTTCCTGGGCATTTTCCAGCAATAATGAGTGCATCGTCATTTACGGTAAGTCGCAAATGCCTAGATGGATATCATTTCGTCTTAGTGTTTGCCTGTGTATCATCCACACACAAGCAAACACTTAGACTACCAGTATTGGACACTAATCTCTGTAACCTGTTGTTAATATATCTTTCTTACATCTAATCCGTGTTTCTTGTTTTACTTCTGTGGTCCCAACTTTGGTCCCACATCAGTGGCGACGAGGATTCGAGAAACGCACTCACGGCGAAACCTAAATACCTTACCAGTTCCACATCTGTGTCGACGTAGAATTCGAGAAACGCATTCACGTCGAAAAACCGCAATACTTTGTCAGTCCCACAACAGTGGCGACAGAAAGGTTCGAGAATGTCGTTCTCACCATATCAATAGCGACAGTACTCGAAAAATACACAGAAACTCTACGCGTTCCCACAGTAGTGTTGAACGAGAAATTAAGCTGGTATTACTACATTAGCGATTTAGACGCAACACCCAGCGTCTACATATAAAAATAATATATTCCGATACCAAACAGCATTGACGAACTAGCGATTCGACATCTACGGAATATTAAAGTCTGTCCAAATAACATTACGAGAACGATTTCTTACACACTCACACACAGAGAAAAAAAACAGTGCCGAAGTACTACCATTGTACTCAATTTTTTATGTAACTGAGTTGAACTCGTGCATAAAATTATTCTCCCCTCAAATTCACTGAGGTGAGTTTTCTCTTTTTATAACTCTATAAAAAAATAATAATACATAAGTGTAGTAAAAATTTATACAATTACGTCAAAATTAACGGAACCACGGGAAAAAAAAAGCTAAACACATAATTAGTTTAGTTTAACTATTGTCTGTCCATATTTTTTTTTCTATACCTCCCCTTAGTACACGTGTTTCAAAGCAACAAAAAAGTGCTGTCATTTTTAAATATGGAAGATTTTCAAAAAGCAGTTGCCCAAATGCTAAAAGCAAATTTGGATCAGCAACAAAAATCAGAAGAAAGACAACAACTATTTTTGGAATTACATAAACAACAAATGGAATTCCAAAAATTACGCTTCAGAATGCTGAACTACAACAGAAACAACTTAAAGAATTACTCGTAAATGCATTAAAAGGCTCAAACTCTGAAAAAGATACAATATTCTCCCAGAGTACAATCTACAATTCAATGGAAACCTTTGAATACGTACCAGAGAACGACAAAACGTTCGACGCTTTTTACAGGCGCTACGAAGATATTTTCAACGTAGACTGTGAACAATGGTCCAGTAAAAAAAGATACGTCTACTATTGAGAAAACTGGGAACTACAGAACAAGTTAGGTTCGTAGACTTCGTACTACCCAAGAAAACGACTGACTTGGATTTTTCAGAGACTATTAAGCTCCTATCGGAACTATTCGGGCCTAACACAACCTTGTTCCACAAACGTTGGAAATGCCTGAACACAGTCAAAGACGACCAGCAAGATTTTCTAACGTTTGCAGCATCGGTAAACAAGCTCTGTAATGATTTCAAACTAGCTGAACTGACTGCCGATGATTTCAAGTGCTTAGTTTTCGCACAAGGTCTAGTATCAGCAGAAGACGCCGAAGTCAGACGATGGGTACTGACCAAGCTTGACAACGAACAAGGATTGACTCTCCAAAAACTGGCAGAGGACTGTCAAAGAGTAATATCTGTAAAGCGTGACTCAAACACTATCGAGGAATCAGGTGTGACTCAGATTAATAAAATCAGAAGTAAGTCTACCTCCTATTCCCCTCAAAAAGACAAATCTCATGTCCTAAATTACGCAGTAACCAAAACCTAAATAGGTTAAAGAAACCGCCCGGACCATGTTAACATTGTGGTAAATGGCACTGGATGATATACTGGTTACCAGAAAACTATGACAGAGCACCGGAACCATATAATAAACGTATTCGAAAAGATACAAGAATACGGATTTAAGGTTAAGGAGGAAAAGTGTGACTTTTTCTTACCAGAGATTAAATACTTAGGGCACATTATAAATAAAGACGGTCGTCGGCCGGATCCAGAAAGAGCCAACGCGATCAGAAACATGCCGGTCACAGA